ATCATCAGAGATACCAAACCACTACGAAAGAAAAAGATCTCAATCCTGTTTGGAATGAGAGCTTCTACTTCAACATTTCTGATCCAAACAACCTCTCTAACCTCAGTCTTGAAGCCTGTATTTACCATCATGGTAAAGGCAACTCCAAATCTTTCCTCGGAAAGGTTTGTCTTACTGGGACATCATTTGTTCCATATTCTGATGCTGTTGTTTTGCACTACCCTCTGGAGAAGCGAGGCCTTTTTTCACGTGTTAAAGGAGAGCTTGGTCTAAAAGTTTTTGTTACTGATGACCCGTCTATAAGATCCTCAAATCCACTTCCTGCACTGGATGCGTCTCTGGACAGAGATTCACGGTCTACACATGTTCAATCACAATCACAAGTTGTTCCAAATGTTAACTCAAACATGTTGTCCAATGATAAAGCTGAGTCGAGACACACATTTCATCACCTTCCAAACCCCAACCTAGCACAGCAGCAGAATATTTCTTCAGCGGCAATGCAGCCGTCAGTGAACTATGGGATGCAGGAAATGAGGTCTGAACCACAGTCTTCTAAAGTTGTTCGCAGCATGTACTCAGGTTCATCAGCTCAAGTGCCTGATTATTCCCTTAAAGAGACGAGCCCTTACCTTGGAGGGGGGCGAATTGTTGGAGGGCGAGTCATACCTGGAGACAGGCCATCTGGCACCTATGACCTTGTTGAAAAGATGCAATACCTGTTTGTACGAGTTGTGAAAGCCCGTGATCTTCCTCACAAGGATATAACCGGTAGCCTTGATCCATATGTTGAAGTAAGAGTTGGTAACTACAAAGGAACTACAAGGCATTTTGAGAAAAGACAGAACCCTGAATGGAACGAGGTATTTGCTTTTGCAAAGGACAATCAGCAATCATCTGTTTTGGACGTTGTAGTCAAAGACAAGAATCTTTTGAAAGATGATTTTGTTGGGTTAGTACGGTTTGATCTCCATGAAGTTCCTCATCGAGTTCCACCAGACAGCCCATTGGCTCCAGAATGGTATCGGCTCGCAGACAAGGATGGAAGGAAGGACAAAGGAGAACTGATGCTTGCAGTATGGTTTGGCACACAAGCTGATGAGGCATTTCCAGAGGCCTGGCATTCGGATGCAATTGGTCCTGATGATGGTTCTTCGGTTGCTTATGGACACATCCGTTCAAAAGTTTACCATTCACCAAGACTATGGTATGTTCGAGTAAATGTGATTGAAGCACAGGACTTGGTTCTGCACGACAGGTCCCGCTTCCCAGATGCATATGCAAAAGTACAGATTGGTAATCAGGTTTTAAAGACAAAACCAGTTCAATCTCGAGCTATGAACCCAGTGTGGAATGAGGACCTGATGTTTGTTGCTGCTGAACCCTTTGACGATCATCTGATCGTTTCAGTTGAAGATCGTGTAGGTCCAAGCAAAGATGAGACCTTAGGCAGGGTAGTTATACCATTGAACGCTGTTGAGAGGCGTGCAGATGATCGATTAATCCGTGGCCGGTGGTTTAACCTTGAAAAGCACATGTCAGATGCCATGGAGGGGGAGCAACGGAAGAAAGATAAAGATAAAGATAAGTTTTCCAGTAGAATCCATCTCCGTGTTTGCCTTGATGGAGGGTACCATGTGCTTGATGAGTCAACTCACTACAGCAGCGACCTTCGACCCACAGCTAAGCAGCTATGGAAGTCACATATTGGTGTGTTGGAGCTCGGAATTCTAAATGCTGAAGGGTTGCACCCAATGAAAACAAGGGATGGGAAGGGTATGTCAGACACATATTGTGTAGCAAAGTATGGGCACAAATGGGTTCGTACTCGAACCATAAATAACAGCCTAAGCCCAAAATACAATGAGCAGTACACATGGGATGTATATGATCCTGCCACAGTTCTCACTGTTGGGGTTTTTGATAACAGTCAGATTGGTAATATAAACGGCAGCGGCAGGGATCTGAAAATTGGCAAGGTCTGGATTCGAATCTCTACCCTTGAGACTGGCCGTGTCTACACACACAATTACCCATTACTAGTCCTTCATCCTTCAGGTGTCAAAAAGATGGGTGAATTGCATCTTGCAATTAGATTTACGTGCACTTCATTTGTTAACATGATGTTTAAATACTCTAAACCACTTTTGCCGAAGATGCATTATACAAGGCCATTGACTGTGATGCAGCAGGATATGTTACGTCACCAAGCTGTCAACATAGTTGCAGCTCGTGTTAGTCGGGCAGAACCACCTCTGAGGAGGGAAGTAGTTGAATTCATGTCTGATGCAGATTCTCATCTTTGGAGCATGAGGCGAAGCAAGGCAAACTTTTTCAGACTGATGTCAGTTTTTGCAGGGTTGTTTGCTGTTGCAAAATGGTTCGGAGAAGTCTCTGCGTGGAAGAATCCCATCACTACCGTGCTAGTACATGTTCTTTTCGTGATGCTTGTGTGCTTCCCCGAATTGATTTTGCCAACTGTTTTCCTATACATGTTTCTGATAGGGATTTGGAACTGGAGGTACCGCCCAAGGTACCCTCCTCATATGAACACAAGGATCTCATATGCAGATGCTGTGCACCCTGATGAGCTTGATGAAGAATTTGACACATTCCCCACATCCCGGAGTTCAGATATAGTTCGAATGAGGTATGATCGCTTGAGGAGTGTTGCTGGAAGGATTCAAACTGTGGTGGGAGATGTTGCAACCCAAGGGGAGCGGCTTCAGGCACTTCTCAATTGGCGCGATCCTCGTGCCACTATTTTATATATTACCTTCTGTCTTGTGGCTTCTATTGTGTTGTACGTGACACCTTTCCAGGTTCTGGTTCTTCTTGGTGGTGTTTACCTCATGAGGCACCCGAGGTTCAGGGGTAAGATGCCATCAGCCCCGGTTAACTTCTTTAGAAGGCTGCCAGCAAGGACAGATAGTATGTTGTAAAAGGTCTACTCAGATGTGGTAAAGTTTGTCCTGCCAGTGTCTCCGATTTTGGATTTTCATGGCAGTACTTGTAAATTGTAACGCGTATCTGCTGGTGTTCTGTTTATTGTTTATTGTCAATCATGGAAGTGCACACAGATGTATGCAAACTGTTGTGAACCCGGTTAGTGCTACTCCTATTGATGTACTGTTCTGCATTTTCAAGCATCTATAAATATGGTTGAATCATACCTCCTACTTTGTCAAAGCTATTCAAGAAACTTGACATTCAAAGATTGATGAACTGGTAAAGCAGCACCAGTGACTTCCAGTCATTTTTCTTTGCGACATAAGATTAATATGCAATCAGTATGAACTGTTGTTTTACCGAGAAAACCGAGATATGTCATTCTCTTGGTTGCATTGTTGTCCTGGAGCTGGAGGAACCTTTTTTTCCCGTTATATTGCCACTAGGGTTGCACATTTGAGCTTCGATGCTTAACCAGTTTGTTACAATAATGATTAAGCTGAAGGGAAGAGCACCTGCATAAGTCTGATCATGATCTTCTTCTTCAATCTTCCTTCTTTTGCTTTGGTAATATCGGTGTTTTAAAAACATCGCGTATGCGTTCGTCTTTTAAAACATTGGGTGTCAAATTATGACATGTTTGTAGTCTTCTATGGAGAAAGTATTCTGCTTCAAGTACTTGGTGTTTTGTAATACAATAAAGTGAGGTAAATGACTAAACGCGCAATCTGATTATCGGCAGAGATCAAGTAACAAAAACGTCGAAAAGCTGCTTTTATTTTATTTTATTTTATATTTTATATTTTTTTTATATCACCATCTGGGTGAGACAATGCTCTTGGATGACTCAAATACCTGATAATTTACCACTAAAAAAGATGCTAAAAATCCATAATTAAAGAAATTGCTAGAAAGAATATCCTTTCGGATTTTGTAAGGGCCAACTGAACTTGGGACTAATACTGATGCAAAATGAGTCCATAAGATGCAAATGAGTCTATACAGATTTATGGAGAAGCTACTTATAAGGGAAGATTTAAATGGACATGTAAGCAAGGAGACATGCAACTATAGAAGTTTCTATAGTGGCTATGGTTTTGGGGTCACTTTCTGGCTACAAAGAATGCGGTTAATTCTAATCTTTTCAATGAAAGACAAGAAAAAAGTACTTCATAATCTCAACCATATAATACAAGCTGGACGGATGAAGTGCAAAAGTGCATTGGTTGTTTATATTGTGCGATCATCGTAAGGCTTTAAAACTCAAGGAAATTTTTATAGGATGACAATAAAGCCTTCAATGCTTTATAGCATAAAATGTTGGGCGGTCAAGCATCAACACATGCAAAAAAATGAATGTAGTAGAGTTGAGAATGCTTCGTTAGATGTGTAGACACACGAGAAATGACATATTTTAAGGACGAGGATATTTGAGGTAAAGGAGGAGTAGGCGCAATTGATGATGAGATGAGAGAAAATGGGTTAAATTGGTTTGGACATGTGAACCTAAGACCTAAGTAGACTTGCAAAAAAGTCTTTAAGAAAAGATATTGAGTACTTGGAGCTACTTGGGGCAAGACCAAGCCCAGTGACATTTTAGGATTCATGCAGTTGATCCGACTTAGTAGGATAAAACTTTGTTGTTGTTAACATTTTATTGTAATTTAGATGTTTATTGTTAATATCATATTAATGATCATACTGTCATAATGTCAAATTAAAAATGATTGGTTATTTGGACTATACTACGAATGCAGAGTGTACTAAATTTGACAGCTTAACAACAAAACATGTCATTCACACAATAAAAAAACAACATAGTAATTACATGACAGAAAAAAAAAAAAACATTATTCATTTCACTAATTCAAGTGAACTTTATCCACCAACAACTTGGAAATAGGAAATAAGGAACAAGAGAGATGATCCTGTACAACATCTTGTACGGCTTCACACTCTTAAGACAGTAGCACTATGAGGCATGAACTAGCCAACAAAAGCATTGAACCTTTCACACTAGTTTTTATTGGAAAATGGAGGAAAACATTCACTTAGGCATCAGACCAGAATATATCCATAAAACCCCGTCTGGGGTCACCTTCTGACACTCCCAAGGCCTTCCAAACAGCTTTAGAGGCATCAACAATATTGTTAGGACACGGAGGCTGGTAATCGTGCTCGGCATCACATCCTATGGTGGAGTCACACTCGTCGACAACCATCGCTTTGACACTCCTTCCATTACCATGGATGGTAATATGGCCTAAACACCGTCTCCTTTTGTTGAACCACCCCGTTGACAATGCCACAACAGGGGTCTTATCCGAGTGGTACTTATTATCACATGCTGATGGACCGCCGCCATCACCACCCTTTTGAAAGCTGTTGATGGTCAAGGTTGCTTTCGTTTGCTTAGACACCTGCGGCGAGCACTTGAAGATGGGGTAAAGCTGGCCTTTTTTGCAGCACTCGGAGTCATTCCCTTTGTTACATTTTCCTCGAGGAGGCTTTTTCCCCCTAATGTTGCCACTAGGTTTGCATTTTTGAGCTTCAATGCTCAACCAATTCGTAGCAAGAATAATTAAGATGAAGAGAAAAGCACCTGAATAAATCTTGTTCTTCATCTTCTTTCTTCTCCTGCTTTGGTTTATGTTGGTTTGAAGAACTCGGATCCTTGAGTTGGCTATATATATAGGACATGCATGAGGTGTTGTTTGTTATTTTTGTTTTTTTGGATACCTTTAAGTGCTTGAATCAGCTGGGATTTTAATGTTAAATTATGGCATTTTTTGTACTCTTTGTAGGGTACAGTATACTGTTTCTTAAACATACCGATCGGTATACAATTGATGAGGTATATGAATTAAAAATAATCACAAACTTACAATATGATTATCTGCAGATAGTACCTAGACTGTTAAAAGCTTTCTAAAGAATATCACCACATCTAAGTATTAAGTATCACTTTTGTATTTTGTGTTATTTCGCTTGGTATCCAAGCTGTGTGAGATGAGGGCTTGTTTGATTCAGGTACTTAGGGTTCATCGATGTGAAATACTAAAAGATCCATCAATGGAATAATAATAATAACAACAACAACTAGAAAGATGTTTGGATTCCTTAGCTTGTAATAAAACATAGGACAGACAGATGTTCAAAATGTGCCAAATATTATGTTGGATGCCAATATGTGCGGCTTATTAGGTCTCCTCGATAAATTATTTTCCCTGAATGGGGTTTTGCTCACAGTGCTAAAAGAAGGCTTGAGAGAAAAGGTGCCTGCGAGCGTTCTACTATTTGATGCTGCCAACAGACAGAGAGTGATTGAGTGTTTGTATGTGTGTTTTTATGCATTTAATCAATTTCTGGACCAAGAGATTGTGCCGTAAGTGGGATGTTGGTTTAGTCTAGATCCTTTCTTTGCCTCGAGTGCTAAGGAAGATTTTGTTCAATTTTTTTTTCCTAGAGAAGCCATAGATATGCATTAAAACTGGTTTTAACCATTCCACGGATAAAAAAATAATCAAACAAGTGTACAAATCTTAAAACCAAAATGGTAATCGACTGGAAGGTAATGCAAATGTTGTAAAAGAAAAGACGTATGCTTAAAAGTAAACGAAAACAAAGGAGAAAGCAAGATGAAGCAATCTCAGAACAATTCACCATATTGGGCTAGGTTTAGTGGCTTTTCCTTGACATCCTTCTCATCCTACTACAATATTGTAGCAGAGCGATAAATTCTAAGGTGTATTTGCCTAGTGTTGGATTCTAGTTAGGATGCTTTTGATTACAAGGAATTTGATGGAGAAATCGCTTTTACGCTGAGAGCGTTGAAGGTCCTAGATTTTGAGCCCTCCTCTAACACACACACACACACACACACACACACACACACATAAATATATATGCATAGGAACCTTCTTCGTCATTACTTTCAGAGAGTGAATTTTGTGTTTTTTTTTTCTTGAACCAGCTCTGCGCCAGTGCCCGAAATTTGTACACCTTAACAATTGGGCGTTTGTACAAGGAAGGGAGTTGATATGCCTTGCGCACACACAAATACTTTGATGGCTCATTTCTCCCTAGCTAGTTTATTTAAATGCAAGGGTGCACAATTCCTTTAGCGTATGCTGAAATCCTTATTTCCGTCGGTGAATGAGGCACCAAGATATCGATTCTGCTATATGTGCTGATTATTTGACGGCTTCTAAGCATATGATAACATCGCAATTTAGACAAAAATACTTTAAGCTCATGACATAGTTGTGGGGTGAGTTTTCTAATCATTCCCTAATTATTTGAACTCTTGAAGTGTTTTTCAATAAAACTCAATAGTTGCAGGGCGATTTTTCTAATTCACTAATTATTTTGTTTATGCTAAATCGGTATAAAATTCATGACGGCCAATATTTCCTTTCACACTTACCATCTCCCAGTGAAAAGCCATATACGATTTCAAACTTCCTTCTGAAGGTGACATTTTGCCATATATGTCTTCTTACTGTGCTTCGTCTTGTTTACAACTGAATCATATGGCAGTGGGAGTGCTGAACCTGCCGATGGCGAGATACCGTGACAAACATATGAAAGTTGAAACAATAAAACCCAAGTTTCCTTAGTTGGAGTAAGCAAACAAGTAGTCAATTTTAGTGGACATATACGATGCGATTCTGACATACAGTTTTAACTTTTCAACAGGATACTGGTTTTGATTGCTAGAAAATTAACGGAGACTAAATATATATGAATAATGCTAAGGAGATTAAATTTGTAGACAAAATTTTGTAAAGTAAATGACGTGGAAATTAGTGATTGAATTATTACTTAATTGTTAATAAACGTACTCTTTTTTTATTGGTGACACATAATTTAATTTGCTAATTTAGTCTCCCTAGCAATACTCGTTATATATAAAGTCATCTCTACTATAGTATTCATGAGAAAATATGCCCATGCGTTGTTGCGGACTTCAATGCACCCGCCTTAATTGCATGAATAAAACACATTTAATCTGAATAAATTAAGACACATGCACCATGCACTCGTCTCTCAAAGAGATAAACAAAGATACTAAAAACAGAGAGGCAATGTCACAGTGTTTTGATTGATCTTCAAAATTGGGGATAAGGTATTCAAAATGTTAACAAAGACGTGCAAATGGTATTGAAATGCTAAAAAGAGCATTTTGAATAATTATATGATGCGGCAACAAAAACACAATTAACTTTCAAACTACTGAAATAAATGATAAAAACCACGTACTTGCACCCAATACGTTGTTGTTTTTTTTTTTATTCCGTGCAATATAAGAAAAAAAACAGGATAACATTCTCCATGAAACCAAATTCATCCCCCGATTTCTTGCAACAAATTTCAGTAATTACGAATGCAACTAAATCTTAAATAAATAGAGCTGTTCAATTATATTAAACTACATATAGGGAGGGGGAAAAAGAGACAAGAGAGACCTGGATACCTCCATCGTGTACTGAAAGATGCCAAATTCTATCACTAAGGAGAACAAACATTTTCAAATGCTTAGGCTTGGGTGGCATGTCTGAGCATCTGTGCCAACTCATACATACATACATATATATATACACACACACACATACCCTAAAAGTAAGAGTGTAAAATCTATGCTAAAATAAAGAACTAAGTATGAGCAGGACCTTGTAAAAAGTAGGTGATCATATGTGTTCTTCAACTTTCTGTCGAACCTACAATCAACGAAAGTGATCCATCGTGAAAAACATGGTTAACCACCATGTACTGAAGCTATATATAATCATTGAAGAAAAATGTTTTACATCCATCACAAAACAAACTATAATTGAAATTTCAACAAACCAAAATAACATGCAGATAAATAAATAAATAGAAAAAAAAAAAAGTTGAAATTTCTTTTATGTCCAGCAAGGGAACCATTAGAGATTGTGTAGAAACAATGCAGTAAACACTATCAGAGAATGGGGATAAACAGAATAGTAATACACACATACATATCAGGATAGTAAAAGGAAAACAACTCAACATGTAAATTCAAAGGTCACTCAGAACATGCTAAAGGTAAAAACTACATTGCATAGCGATTGGCATCTAGATTTACCCTTAAAATCGCTTGTGATATGTCATTAATAAAAGCCCTGAATTCTTGGTTCACTTCGCTAAATTGGTAGGAGCTTTTGCTTAATCCATCAGAACCTTAAAACAAAACCTGTAATAGCATGATAAGCGATGAAGATCTGGTAAGTTTATTAGACATTGTTTCAAATACAAATTGAGACTCGTGGAAAAAAAAAAAGAGAAAGAATCAAATATCATATTATATTCTGACAATACTTTGAGATGGTATGAAGTCACCTCATCTAATTTTATACCAAATGGGTGAGACTCGTTAAAGAAAGTCAATAATGGGTAGAATGTTTAAATCTATCTCATGAAAGAAGTGATAACGTTGTAGTTATTTTATCAAGAGGTGTTAAGACCATGAATCAAGAGGATTATAAACCAGCGATTTCAAATATTCAATTATAAGAAAACTTGTATGCAATACTGAGAAAAAGCTTATTATTGTTGATAAAAATGCACATGACACCAATGGATCATGCAATAAAAATTACACCATGAAAAATGCCGGCAAAATTTATTCACATCAAAGGACGCACAATCTTGGTTAAAAAAACCAATCAAATTTAAATTCTAACACCATACGATCAAATGTTAATCAAATACACAATCTCAAAAAGCCGAAACCATGTTAAGCAAAAGAAACATAAGGAAAAGAGTGAAGATGTAAGCATCGATAAGAACATGAAAAGTGGTAGCACTGATATCATGCATAGATAGGACAACGAAATATCGGAACTAGCAGCAACAAATAGAACCAAGATGGACAGAGGCACAAACCAACGACATGAGGTCAATTTTTTCACCATGGATTTTGCATGGCCTGAAATCAAGAAAAGGACGTGTTTACTGGGATTTTGAAGTGGACGCCCACAGTCCAAATGACATCGATCATCTCTCTTTTGATGGTCCAGAATCGACCTGGGACACTCATACGAAATCCAAAAAGGTAGCATTATTTGGAAAGAACATGCGAAGCCGTTAACAACAACGAAGTAAATATATAGTTCCATAGATGCAAACAAAATAACACTATGGCATGATATTTGATTAAGATCCGTCTATACCAGTTTGATTGCAAAAACACACACCTCTCCCATGCGGGAATGAACCTAACCATTTAATGAAAAAAAAGATGAAAACCCATGCGGGAATGAACCTAACCACGCTGCATGCACTCACATACACTGCATACACACACTCACACACACCGAAGAATGAACGCATCATATTCAGTTAGCACCATTCAACTTTAAAACCAGTGAGACCTTCTAAAGGCACAGCCTAACTGGCCTCGGTTCAAATAATAAAATTGAGAACAACAGTTCAATTTTAGAAAAGCTGTAAAGAGGGAAAAAAAAGAAAAAAAGAAAAAAAAAACATAGAGAGACAAAACAATCCTATAACCACAACTGAAAAACAAAATCAAAATGAACAGAATAAAATATCAGCAGAGCATGAACACTAACATCCTTTGGAAACATGTGCTGGTTAAGTATGATATATATGTGCATAAATTAAGAAAATGACTTGAGTGCCCTAGCAGTGGTCTTTATGCTGAACCAAATCATTATTAGGTTAATTGTATTGATTCACGCATCTTCTTTTATGTGCTAAATCTCTACTAAATTGCCCTACGAAAATGACATAAAACTAAGTAAATTCCCAATATATCTGAGAAATACAACTTTTAAAAGTGTGAGAATATATGCATTACTAGGATGTTGTAGAACTCACTGGCCCAATTTAAGATTCGGTTTTTGTCCAATGTATGTATATACTTAGATACATTTGAGAATTTGTTTTGCAACAGTTGTTACTCCCATCGTCTTTTGAGAGAGATAGATACAAGGTAAAGATTACAATGGAGAATAGTTAAGAATCCCTCTAAAATACTAAAGAAAAACATACCTAGAACGGAGTAAACAACTGTTTTTCTCCATAGCAATTTCTCCGAGCATTTATGCTATCAGAAAGATAGTGCTCCACTCCAGAAGGATGGACAAAAGTACCATATGGAGACTGACCCAAAGAAAACATAATTAAAAGTTAGCATCTAATGAACAATTAAGGTGATGCCAAAGGGCAACATATGATGTGAAATTATTATACCAAAATATCCAAGGTCTGTTAATCTAATCACCCAATAAAATAAAACAGAATTTAAGCACAACAATATCAAAATTAAAAGGAAGGAATAATATGAAACCTTGTGCATAGAACGTTTGTGAGAATGAATCACACAACAATCAAGGGTGGACAAATCACAAAAGTGACAATTAATGGGCACCTAACGGACACCCCCATCTCTCTCTCTCTGTGCAATCGTAGAAATCCCTCAGGTTTGAGGAAGCAAATGAAAAACGAAATGCTTTTCCAATCCCCTAACCATACCCATACCTCCCTTACCCATTCCCCTTACCCTCGCAGAAATCCTCCCATCTCTCTCTCTCACTCTTGTCCCATCTCTTTGTCTGCAAATCGCAGAAAAGAAACCCTATACAAATCCCTGAAATCCCTTGCCTAAATCCTCCCACATTTCTCTCAGACACCCCCTACCTCTCTCTGCAAAACCTAAACCAGATCTCCTAAATCCTATCTCAGACACCCCACATACAGCAAAGAAGCCAAGATATTAAAGCAATCTCTACATAATACTTTGGAACAATGAAGCAAAATGGTACTTACTTGTTCCTTGTCCAAAACCATTGGTGCCGCCGCACATTGTTATCAATTATGGGTTTATCAAATCCTTCATGGCTTAGACTGCATGAAGAATTAGAAACTTCATTTAAAAAAAAGAAAAGAAGGGAATGAAAAAATTGAATTCTATTTCATCAGTATGTAATTGCATGAAAAGTTACATTGAATGCAGACTCAATCAATTTCCCCAAAGTCATTGTTAACTGAGAGTCAATACCAAACCCATAAATACCAACATTGAATTTGGCAAAATCCAAACACGAAATACAAAAATTTACTCATATAATCACAGAAAAAACATGAAATTTGAGCACCCATTTGGTCAAGTAAAAGGATAAAGGCACTCACATCATCATAGTACTCTTTGGGAAGATCTTCTAATATTGGTTCTTCCTTTTTCTTGCTCTTCCTCAGAACTGCCATAAAAAAAACCCCACAGACGCACACAAATTTAGAAAAGAAAAGGTCCAAAGCTTCCATAAAAAATCCAAAAAGCATACAAATTTATCAAAAAGAAAAGTTCAAATTACGAAAACCAACTGACGTGAGTGAGTAGTGAGAGGTTGTGTTAGGCACCTGAAACACGTTTTGGTTTCAATTGAGAGGGCCAGAGCCTTGCATGCGAGGAAGATGACGATAGGATTCCAGAGACAGAGAAAGGAGGAGTAAGACGACGGAGGCGAGAGGAGGATAGGACGGAGGCGAGACTGTCTGTGGTGCGACACACAAGTGGGTTTCACAGCTATTAATTAAAATACACAACATGAAAGCTTGTCGCTGTGCCAGAGTTTCTGCTTGTCTAGAAAATTGGCAAAATTGGCACACAGGCTCACAACTCGTCGTCTTCCCTTTATCAATGGCTCCTTTAAATATCCAAATGATCAAGGTTGATCTTGTTCGCAGAATACGTTATGAGCTCCTTTTGGTAATCCACCTAAAACAAATAAGCACAATCTCTATGTAAACTGGCATTTCACTCAATTATACATTAGTTATGGCATCTTTGGAACTAAATGACTTCAACCTTAATATCCTATAAACAGTATGTTTCTATATTTTAAATCCTGTTATAATAACAGGTAAAAATAAATGATACAAAAGTAATTTAGTTCCATCTTGCATAAAGGTGCAACCTCCAACCTGAGCTTCACATATTTTTCTTTTAATTTTAATGAGTAAAACTCTATTCATGTTATCTGTTGAATAAGAAGAGTATCCAAGATAACTCTAATGATCCCAAGAAGAAGAAAATAGAACACACTCTTAAAGAAAGCTCACAAAACAAACTAGTTAGCAAAGCTTTTCTTATTTAGCTCTAGGCTTTGTTTTTCCTTGGATGATTTACAATGCTTGAGAACTTGGGTATTTATAGCAAACCAAATGAATAAACTAAGATTATTTATTACCACACAAAACACATTAATTTCACCTAATTTATTTTTATTCAACCATGCCTAACATTGCCTAATTTTCCATACCTAACTTTGACATTGATTTTCAACATCTTTGACATTGATTTTCAACACTCCCCCTCAATGTCAGCTCTCATTCTTTGCACTGTGCTGAGCAGACAGCGAAAATTTTCGAGCTTGCCTGTACTCAAACTTTTTGTGAACAAGTCCGCAACTTGATCATTTGTCTTGACCTGTCTCATCTCAATCTCTTCTTGCAGAACCTTTTCTCTGATAAAGTGGTAATGTACCTCCACATGCTTAGTTCTTGCATGAAAGACTGGATTTTCCGCCAAGCGAATTGCCGATTGGTTATCACAGTACAATGGTACTGGATAATCTACTGGTTGATGTAGATCACTCATCAACTGTACCAGCCATGCATTCTCTTGAGCTGCCATTGCTGCTGCTCTATATTCTGCTTCAGTGGTTGACAATGATACCGTCGGCTGTCTCTTGCTACACCAAGAGATGGTTCCAGAACCAAGCTTAAACACATACCCAGTTGTTGATCTCCTGGTGTCATGATCTCCCGCATAGTCAGCATCACAGTAACCAACTAACTTGCAGTCTTCACCTTTCTTGTACAAAAGACCATAGTCAATTGTACTCTTCACATATCTTAGTATTCGTCGAACTGCTTCCAAGTGAGGCTTCTTTGGATTTTGCATGTATCGACTCATCACACCAACTGCATAAGAAATGTCAGGTCGAGTCAAGGTTAAGTAGATCAGACTACCTACCAATTGTCGATACATCGTCGCATCTTCCAAATCTTTTCCTTCATGTGCACTCATTTTGACATTTGGCTCCATCGGCGTAGAGATCAGCTTGCATTCGAGCATTCCGAACCTTTTCAATAAATCTTTGGAATATTTCTGTTGACAGAGAAATATTCCTTCTTGTGTGCGATCAACCTCTAGACCAAGGAAGTGCTTGAGTTGACCAAGTTCCTTCATTTGGAAACGGACTGATAAATTCTCCTTCGTCCGAAGAATTTCTGCCTCATCATCACCGGTTATGATCAAGTCATCCACATACACTAGCACGATAGCTAGCTTTCCTTCATTGGCTTTGACAAACAAGCTGGAATCTGCAGGTGTTACTGAATAACCACTTTGTGTTAGAAATTCAGCAATCTTACCATACCACGCCCTGGGTGCTTGTTTCAAACCGTATAGTGCTTTCCTTAACTTGCACACGTACTCAGGATGAGCTTCGCTTTTAAAGCCCATTGGCTGCATCATGTAGATCTCCCGATCCAGCTCTCCATGAAGAAAAGCATTCTTCACATCCATCTGCCACAGATTCCAGTCTTTGTTGGCTGCAAGTGCAAGTAAGACTCGAACTGTTGTAAGCTTCGCCACTGGACTAAACGTTTCATCATAGTCTAGTCTGTACTGTTGAGAGAAACCACGAGCTACCAATCGTGCCTTGTACCTCTCGATTGACCCATCTGGACGACGCTTTATCTTGTAAACCCACTTGCAGGATATGGGTTTCACATCTCTTGACTTTGGCACGAGATCCCAAGTCTAATTTTGCTGAAGTGCATCAAGCTCTTCTTTCATAGCAGTCATCCACTCAGAACTCTGCGATGCTTCTTCGAACGTCTCAGGTTCTGTTGCTTCTTCAATTATGGCTGCATTGGCATATTTAGGATTTGGTCTCCGTGCTCTTGTTGACCTTCGGAGTTGAGATTGTGGAGTTGATTCTTCTACTCTACTAGGTCTAACTTCTTGTGGTTGTTGGTACACACCTGTTTGCCAAGGACTCTTAGGTACTTCTTGGTCGACATCGTCTCTAGTAAGCAAATCTTCAGGCTCATCTGGACTTGATTGGATTTGGGCAGCTTGGTCTCCCAGTTTCCCTTGCAACGTATCTTCAAACTCTTTTGGGTCAGGTGACGCCTCATTTTCTGAGCACCAAGATGATGTTTCTGCGTCCCATTCTTCCTCCACAGCTAGAGACGCAACGACATCCCAATCATCTTCAATTTCATTTTCTGAGCACCAACAAGATGATGCTTCTGCGTCCCATTCTTCCTCCGTAGCGAATAAAGCTTCAGCATCCCAGCCATCTTCACTATTCTCCTTTGAACTGGAAGTAGCAGTATTACTTTCAACAGGCTCTTTCTTGGTCCAACAATCTTTCGCCATGTGGCCATTCTTTCCACAATTGTAACACTTGCCCTCAAATCTTTTATTATTCTGGGACTGACCACGGTTGCCGTGATACTTCGGAGCTCCCCCTGGCCGAGAACTCCCTCCTCCTTGATGACCTTTTTCCTTGTCACCATTTCTTTTAGATCCACCACCAGCACGCTGCTTAAAGCTGCCTTTGCTTTTGTTGGTGTAGAGCGCTTCCTCTTCACTCTTCAGTGAGACTCCTCCCATTTGCTTGGCCATAGCTTCTTGACTTGCAAGCAAATTTTCAAACTCAACAAGCGATGGTTGTGTCGGCCATCCTTGTATAGCGGCAATGAACCCTCGATATTCGGGTCTCAAACCATGGATAATTATTCTCTTCATCCTGGTTTCCCCAATAGGAGCTGTTGGATCTAATTCTGAAATTTCGCGGCATATCGACTTCACCTTGTGAAAGTACTGGGCAATCGTCATGTCGTGTTGTACCATCGATAGCAGCTCATTCTCGAGAAGTTGCAATTTTGTATCGTTCCTCTTCGAAAAGAGTGTAACAAAAGTGTCCCATGCTTCCTTTGGCGTTCTAGCATCCCGAATGTGCTCCAACATTTCTTCTTCTATTGTGGTCTTTAAAGCAAACATTGATTTGCCTGCTTTAATTTTCCACTTCCGCAAGACGCCGTTAGCATCTTCCGCTGCCGGTTGTGTAGCTTCACTACCACCGACAACCTCCCACAAGTCTTGACCTTGAAGGTAAGACTCTATACACGTTGCCCACGTGTTATAGTTTTGGTTGTTGAGCTTCTTGATTCCTCCAACAACTTGAAGATCACCCATCGTATCGGCAAGACTTTGACTATACCGAACAAGCTTGAGTGACTACTGTGCAGAGTAATACACTACTCTCGACACAAAGAAGCTCCCTCTCAAGGTTTGTGATAACCCCAGCAATAATCTCAAGAAACCTTTTCTGATGTGGAAGATCAGTCAAAACTGCAACCACAGAGCATACTCGGAATTCCAAGAGACTTTACAACCAATGCTCTACCAAGAACGATCCCTGACCGACTTGGCTCTGATACCAATTGTTGAATAAGAAGAGTATCCAAGATAACTCTAATGATCCCAAGAAGAAGAAAATAGAACACACTCTTAAAGAAAGCTCACAAAACAAACTAGTTAGCAAAGCTTTTCTTATTTAGCTCTAGGCTTTGTTTTTCCTTGGATGATTTACAATGCTTGAGAACTTGGGTATTTATAGCAAACCAAATGAATAAACTAAGATTATTTATTACCACACAAAACACATTAATTTCACCTAATTTATTTTTATTCAACCATGCCTAACATTGCCTAATTTTCCATACCTAACTTTGACATTGATTTTCAACATCTTTGACATTGATTTTCAACATTATCATCAATATCTCACAGAGCGAAACTCTATTCATGTTATCATCAATATCTCACAGAGCGAAGCAACATATTGGAAATGCGTATCCGATTAACAGCCCTTTCATTCGAGCAATTAAATAAATCCATAACACGGATTAGAAAAACAGGCAAATAACAGAAAAACCTGTCATTTACTTGCAAAACTCCTGCCTAACCCCAGTCTTTGCAATTAAATATAAACTAACACTTCCCTCAGTGTGCTCTCTTTGTATAAAAATATACGCTATCATTTAAAACCTGAAATGTAGAATTTGATGCCAAGAACAAATCCTCAGCATCCACGCTATACAATATAGTAACTAATGAACTTATTATTGTGTTGGAAAACACAAACTCTAGGTCCATATCCTCTTGCGCCATTGACAATGGAGTTGTGGTTCAAAGAATCACCAACAATCAAGCCTCCTTGTAAAGTCAAATGGCACATATTCAGATAAGGAATGTAAACACAAAATTAGAACTCATACATTTGAGAAAAATGCAAACCTTCCCCATCAGAACAGGAAAGATAGCAGAGTTTGTGACATAACCCATTCCGAAAACGATAGCAGCAGGTTTCCCAACAAAATTTGCAACACACTCTTCCAGCTCATTATGCAAATCCGTGGTGCCTGGTGATAGAAGCGTATCATGGTAAATTCATTTAGAAAAATAGTTCAAACAAATTTTCCTTGCAAAGTAGTATTAGTATACCAACAGCCATTAACTCGGCTACTACAAGTATTGGGGGAATATTTTTTCAACGTCTCAATAGAGCGAGGTGTGCAGTACTCATCAGATGCAGCAAAGCCAAGGTAATTGTAAGATCCCGAGTTATGGCATCTACTGGTTTTTTTGGTTAGCCTGCATCAGCCAAGTTACACAATCAGAATATAAATCAAGAAAACATAACAAAAGGCGTGAAATATACATGAAATTGCGAAATCGGAGGAAATTTGTAATCATTACTTGAGTGTTTTGTTGTAGTCATTGGAGTAGCGTTCAACCACATCAAACCAAGCATCAGGAGCACTTGCAACAAGCCTATTGAAACATCTTGACAGTCAAAACTTTAAAAAATTAACCAGAGTTATCAATAATTATGTTTATGGGACTCCATGGAATTCAAGATTAATTGCAGGGCCAGCTGCATCCATTTCATATAGCTCAAGAAATATAACACAATCAAATCAATAACAAAATACCTGAATTCGAAGATAAAGCTGGCGAATATAGAAATCTTCAAGTCCTAAACAGATTTGAGCATAACCCTGATTTTTGCAACAAAGCAATGCTTTTTTTTTTTTTAACATAAAATTACAGGAAAAGCTAAACAACAAATTATGTACAATGATTACGGAATGCACTCCACCAGTCGATGATTTTGCGGAAGAAATCTCTGACTTGGCCGAAAACGAAAAGCAATCCATAGCTGAAGTACGTGGTTAACGCGGTTAAATAAGGGATCGCAATCATTTTTGAGGTGGGACGTTTGCATGATCCGAAAGCTGGAGGATTTGGGAATTATTGTCTCCGCCACATTCTCCTGCAATGAAAATAACAATTGTAACAAAAATCAGATATTTGGATCGAAGGTAAGATTCTAGCGTTTTCTCCGTGTCACAAGGGTCATGCATAGCTCTTGCTCATAATTTAATTGGTGGGATCTTGATGCAGCACAAGGGTAACGGGGATACCAACTTAAGCCCTTGAAGAACAAGTTCTGAAGTTCACCAGATTTTGGTTGAAAACTGAAAGGTTTGTTTGATTATTGATTGAAAGATGATATTATTACATGGGAAGCCAACGATTTTAATGACTTAATCACAATCCCCTGGGGAAGCTCAAGGTTCTTACGAAAATAAAAGTCTGAGTTTTATTAAATAATTTAAAATGCTGTTCTGGAAGCTAAATGGCATCGGATGACCAAAATTCATCATATATCACGGTAATGCTGTGGGTTTGAAATGTTATGTCATTTTTTTTTCATAAAGGTATCATGGGCCTAAATCAGTGCTCGAACGCTAAATCTAAAAATTCCTGTTGTGTCCCTTTGATTTCCATCGGTCTATTTCGTCTTCAATTCACTTAGCCATTTGTTTTACATGAGATCTATATTGAAAATGAATCACTTACCCGTTTTGTAACCATTATAGTTTTTAAGTTTCTTTTTTTTTTTTTTTTTTTTTTTTTTTTTTTTTTGACAATCGAACCAAAATTTGAAAACTTACAAAATTAGCACATTCAGTTTCATTATTTATTTACATTAAAATTTTATAATTAACAACATTTACCAAACCAGAGATAGCAAAAGCAAGAGTTGGCAAAGATATGCTAATTATTAGCTTTCTTCATGATGCATTTTGTCATCTGCTAACATAAACAAGAGAATGTGGTTAGGAATTTTTCTATATATATACCTTTAAGGGAAGGAATTCTTATTTTTTCAAAAAAAATGAGGACATTTTCTTGACCGTTAGATTTGGATTTAATGAAATTATGTGGTTGAGATTCTGTGGCCTGTGATTTAATCTCAACTACAGAATTTTATTAAAGTCAAATCTAATAGTTAAGAAGGTGTCCCCATTTTTTTTTTTTTAAATGGAGATCCATTCCCTTAAAAGGCCTGGAATATATACATATATATATATATATATATATGTATATGAGTTTTTATGTGGAAATCTCTTCCTATTTTATTGTCCCACATTGCTCACTACTAAAAGTTTCTCACACTTTATAACAATTTGTCTTTCTTACTAAGTGATTGGAAAGATGGATTATAGAGAGCAAATTTGGGCTTGAACTTGGAGTTTGGGCTTGAGTGAAAAAACGTGTCATGATAACTTCATTATTATTTAAAACAAATATTGATGATTTGGGCTTGGGTGTAATAATTATTGGAAAGATGGACTATATAGAGAGAGCAAATTTTGGATTTAATTACCAATTTTTCATTCCATGCCGAGATTTCATACTCTAAAAAACGTGTCATGATAGCTTCATTGTTATTTAAAAAAAATATTGATGGTTTGGAACTATCCAAAATTGGGATGTTTTTTTGGAAGCAATCCATAACCCCTACGACTGACCCGGCCTTTAATAAATGGCGAACGGAGAATGGCATCGTGAAAGGATGACTGATTAACTCTATTGAACCCAATCTAATTGGGTATCTTATTCGACTACGAACAACAAAGGAGGTTTGAGACGATATGCCGTCTTTCCCAGGCACTTTCTCCCCGACGCACTGAGCCGATTCCAGCTCCTGCGGAGTAAGAATGATTTCAAAGGCCCTGTCAATGAATTCAAGGCTGCATTGTTGAGATTCTGATCATCTATTATGCAATCGATGTCTTTTCCCGGCTTACAGGGAACTCTCGGTTCGGATATAACATCATCCCAGTTTCCCTTTACCAAGAGAACGTCTGTATACCAATCTTTATCATGACCACGAAGTAACGAGTATTAGTGCTTCACCGGAATGTGTAGAGAACGTGAAATTCAGATAAGCCCAGTTCGATGTGATGCCATTCTTTCAGGCGTTCGAAGCAGAGTATAATGCGGATGAAAGTATGAGTGAGATTGCATATACCAATTTGGAAATGCGTGAGGATCTCCTTCCACAGCGCCGACAAGGGGAATCTCAACACCAATCGAGGTAACAAGGATGGATCTTAGTGCAAGGACGAAGGGGATCAATAGGTGGGGGAAGTTTGGCCGTTACATCATCACTATCTTCCCACCAGGCACGACACCCGTTGAGAAGGTGGTTGTGACTGCGAGAAAAGCTTGTTCCTCACCCTTGTTGCAAACCTTGACCATGGGGCTTCGGGGTTATCCAGAATAGCAGGTTGAGCAGGTTAGGCAGAAGGACTGGCAGCCGCGATTTCGTTTGAATACAAGAAGGCTAACAATGACAAATGTAACATTGAAGTGCTCTTTAGATGATAAAGGAGATTTGGTAATTCAGGAAGAGAGTGAAGGCAGTGGTACGACAGATATTTAAAGAAGATATTTCAAATCATCTTACCGTTGAATACGAACTAGTTTGCCTTGAGATCAACAAACTCGATTGTTGTGTCTTTAGGGGTAGAATGCTGAAGGAGAATTCTCATTTTTTATGTTTATGCAACAGACAGGACACATCATCATTACGGGGTCTTAGGTACGAAGTCCAAGATAGCCCACTCAAGATTGAAAGCGCAGCCGCTTCAAAGCCAAAAGTTGGGTAGAATGCTGAAGGAGAATTGCAGCGAGATTCAAACTGCCTAAATAACCGCCTAGCGCCACTTAGGCTGCCACCTAAGTCTTTCCCGCCTAATTGAATGTTTTGGTCTAAATCGGGTTGGAGCTTCGCCACCCAGCGCCTAGGCGGTCGCCTAGGCCGATTTTTAGAACACTGGCGATACCACCATCACTCAACTTCGGGGGACTAGGTGGAATCCTAGCGACTTTGCTGGATGCCCATGCTTGTTCCAAAAGGCATGCGATTTGACCTAGATATAGACACAATCAAATCCCTTAAGTCTTGGAGTTCCTATAACCTAGGGATTGATGTACACTGCAAGTAATCATAACTCATATGAGGGTGCAATATCTACTTCTAGATATCCTCTAGGATTCTCCTATCTTAGAACAAGGATTCTATCCTAAAAAATGTCTCTCTTCCCCTGATATAAATACATTCATCTAGGGTTCATCTATGATAACGCAATCTAATAAACACTTCAATTCTCTTGCCCACTGCTTTAAGTCTAAAGTCATTCACTAACTTAACTGTCGGAGAGCCTTTGGCTGGGACACACTCCCCATCCCCCGGTCTTAGGCTTGCTTACTGTTGTTTACTATCTTGTAGTTTGCCCAAGTTTACTTTGATTTGCGCTCATCCACCGTTCAAGGAGGTGCTCGAATTTGGTTCCAACAATTTCTAAGTTAGTTTCCTATCTCGTGGACTGAAGGTTTGTTTCAGATTTGTTTCCAAGTAGGCTAGTAGTGCTATTTTGTTCTCTAAACATTCTCCTCCGAGAAGAATTAAAGAATTCCGACTGCATTTGAGATTAATCAAGAATTCTGAAATTTAAACCTAAAACTTTTATTTTTAGAAAATGCACATAATGAAATAGGAATTAGAAAATTTGAATACTTAAGTAGTGTGTTCCTTCAAAATTATTTTTACGTTGCCGTTCCGTTAATGGAGTGTGTATGTATATTACTACGTTGAATTGCGTTCTGGCAAAGAAACTAATTAGTTTTCTTCAGTGTCAGAATTTAATTTTGTCAATATTCAGCAAACGTCCAAGGATAACATGGTCCGAAAGTTCCTATATATACCCACCCACAATTTCTTTTCTGCATCAAACCAAGCATATTCACCACAAGAGCACAACTAGAGAGATAGAGAGAAACAGAGAAAATGAAGAGTTTCATTTCCAAAGAGTCCATTGTCCTACTAGTAATTCTTCTTTCGGCAATTTGCTTGGTCGCTGAAGCTCAACAATGCCGTCCAAGCGGCAAAATCAGAGGAAGGAAGGCCCCTCCAGGACAATGCAACCAGGAAAATGATTCTGATTGTTGTAAGCCGGGCAAAATGTACCCAACCTACACATGTTCACCGCCATTGTCTGGGAGCACCAAGGCCACCCTCACCCTCAACAGTTTCGAGAAAGGTGGAGATGGTGGCGGTCCATCAGAATGTGACAACCAATACCACAATGACAACACACCAGTTGTGGCACTGTCCACCGGATGGTATAGCAACGGAGATAGGTGCCATAAACAAATCAGAATTAATGGTAACGGACGTAGCGTGTTGGCCATGGTGGTGGATGAATGTGACTCTACTGAGGGATGTGATGCAGATCATGATTACCAGCCTCCTTGTCCTAACAACATTGTTGATGCCTCAAAAGCTGTTTGGAAAGCCTTGGGTGTGCCTGAAGACCAATGGGGTGGCCTAGATATCACTTGGTCCGAAGCTTAGTTACATTAATTAATTTCCGTCTTGCTTTGCGTATATGATCGTTGTGGATTGTGTTCTATAATATGTTACAAGTACTATACTATTTAAGAAGTCAATATATTTAAACTTGTTTTTCTTATACTTTGTCTATTGTAAATTATAAAGTAATATTACATAATCATATACATATCACTCGACTTCTGTTTTGTTCTAGTTCGTTATCTAGGTCTTATCTCATACCTTCAAGCAGCTGTCTTTTTGGCTATTCTTTCTTTGGTGTCAGGGCATACCTGGCTTCTTATCACAACAAGTTAAAAACAAAGTGAGAATGTGAAAGTAAAAAGTCTTACATTGATGGAGAAATTTTGTAAGAACTTTATAAGAGGTTGGAGCATTCTTCATATTGATAATTGGTTTTATGGTAGAACCCCAATTTCTTCATGGTATCAGAGCATACTATTCCATGTGTGAAGCCAAATGGCCACACGCGCTCCATTGTGTTGTCCACATGTTAGACTTGAAAATACGCCACATGTGAGGGGGCGTATTGAGAATGAATCTCACATTGATGGATGGAGGAACCTTGATTGGGCCTATAAGTAAGTTGGCCTACTCCATATATTGTCACTTAGTTTTATGATGACTCCAACTTTTTTCATGGTATCAGAGTAGATTGGTCCACGTTTGAAGCCCAACAACCACACTTTTCCACATCAATTCGTGTTGTTCACGTGTTTAGCATGAAAGTTCGCCACACGTGAGGGAGTGTGTAAGAATGTAATGTTAAAAGAGTTCCAAATTGGTGAAAGGAGAAATCTTGAAAGGGCTTATAAAAGGTTTGGCCACTCCCCATATTACCAATTGGTTTTATAGAGGAATCTCAGTAATCCTCACAAAAGACAGGAATGTAAAATCTAAGTTAAGCATGTGGTCCAATATCCTAATGGCTAAAATGTTAATTTTCTACCCATGCATCCCGGGTTGAAAACTTCCCCCTTTCCTAAGTTATTGTAATAATTTCGAACCCTCCCCCTTCTCTTAAAAATAATAATTTAAAAAAAAAAATCTAAATCAAGGTTTACTAATTAATCGAAAATCTCCAATAGGGACTTATTGTCGCAACACATACAAGCATCATTTTTATTTTTACTGTTATGCTCCTAATTTGAATTTATCCAGATGAACTTGGTTGATTCCTGTACCAGAAAAACCCTTTATCATAAAAATATTTCTTAGGATGTTCAAAAACAGTTATAAAAAAATAGACGAAAAATGAGCCTAACCAAGCTAAATAAGAGACCTATTAATGCTTGGAACTTTATAATACAAAAATATTTTCATTGGTACTAAAATTCACAGGAGATGGCATTCAACTGTTCAGAAGATGGTACCATATTTGCAATCACGAATCAAGATGATCCTTCTAGTACCGGTGTAGGTGTCACGGTCTGCTGCGTTCCAAACTTTGATTATTCAACATCATAGTGTTATATAATTAACATGCTTGTAATTGCTTATGAGTTACGCTTAAAGTAAGACGATATCACGCTAGCGGCCCAATTTGGATTAAGTCATGTTAATGAGTCCTAACCTTGCTATCCTTGAATGGAAAATCAACTATAGATTCCCTATGCCGTTGGATTGATTATTACAGAGAAAACTATGAAAAATTCTTGAGTAAGTAGACTGGACATCTTTGTATTCCGAGAAACAGTTCATCGTAAACGAATTGGTAATTAATGTCACTCTCTGTATTCGGGGGATATAATAATATGGATTATCTTTAATTAATTAAGATTTTGGCGCTTAGCATAATTGGGAAGGATTTATTTTCAAGATGATTCAGGTAGTTGAGAAATTTTTCAGTGTAACCGTCACACTCGGTGGTACACCACGTATCTCTATATAAATGGTGGATTATATATGTTAAAATATTAATAAATTAAAAATTAAAATTTTTCGCCACTTGCATAAAAACACATAGTGTATCATCCGTGTTCCCGTCACAACTAAAAATTTCTCCAGGCAGTGGACTTCTCCGTGACTTTGATGGAGTGTACAACAGCTTGCATAGCAAAATATTTATTGAATGTTGATTGTTATTTTTTCTAGGTATACAGCTATATATATATGCCACCCTCAATTGCTATTAGGCATCAAACATATCCCAATTCAGAAAAACATTCAGAAAAATGAAGAGCTTCGCAATTTTCTCAAATGGTTCACTTGTCCTTCTAATCATTCTCCTTTCAACAATTTGCTTGGTCACTGAAGCTCAGCAATGTCGTCCAAGGGGCAGAATTAGAGGAAGGAAGCCCCCAGGCCTCCTGGACAATGCAACCGGGAGAATGATTCTGACTGTTGTGTAGCAGGCAGAATGTGCCCAACATATACATGTTCACCACCATTGTCCGGGAGCACCAAGGCCTAGCTCACTCTTAACAGTTTCGAGAAAGGTGGAGATAGTGGCGGTCCATCAGAATGTGACAACAAATACCACAATGACAACATCCCTGTTGTGGCATTGTCCACAGGCTGGTATAACAATGGAGGAAGATGCCTCCACAACATTACCATAAGTGCTAATGGAAGGAGTCTGGTGGCAACGGTCGTTGATGAGTGTGACTCTATTGAAGGATGTGAAGCCGACCATGGTTATCAACCGCCTTGCCCGAACAACATTGTTGATGCCTCAAAGGCTGTCTGGGATGCCTTGGGCGTGCCCAAGGACAACTGGGGTGGCCTAGATATCACATGGTCCGATACGTAATTTAATTTATAACTTACCTTACTGCGATCAGTCTAGCTTGTTGCATTGGTTGTTTTCATTAAGGGTGCAAGTTAGAAATACAATTAAAAATATAGTTAGCAAGTTTATTAATATTTGGTAGAATTGTTAGGCTTAGTAGTATAAAAACAAAGTGTGTAATCTTCATTCTTGCAGTTAATACAAGTCATAATTCTCTCTCTAAAACTCTTTGTGTTCATCTTTCTTCTCTTCATCTTTCTTCTTCATTTTCTCTTCAGTTCTCAAACATTACAATGTAGTTAACATGGTATCAGAACCACCAAGCTCATGGCACTGATTCTGGTGGTTCCACCTCCCATTATTTTTCATCTGTTTCTAGCTTAGGTTCTTTCAAATTTTCATTAGATGTTCGGATAAATTTCTGGGTGCTTTCGCGATCGTTCTTTTAGTTCTGGGTTGATTTTACTCTGAAGTCCGAGAGAGAGAGGCCTCTCCGTCTTCCTCCGCGTAAAACCTCTGATAATACCCCCAAAACCCAAGTCCCCATTAATTTCTCTCACAAAGCTTCAATCTTTTGCTTCAAAGAGATCAAAAATCCCATTTTCTGCAAAACCCAGCTCTGACCCTGAAACAAAATCGTCAAAACCCACAACAGCAATTGTTTCCGGGAGGTTTTCTGAAAGGGGTTCGCTGGGTTTCTTCAGGTTCTGATTCACACCATGGATCTTGGTGGTTCTAAATCATCTGGATCTTCATTGTCTTCGATTTTTCAAGAGTAGAATTATTTCTGGGTTTTTCCTCTGGGTTTCAAGATGAAGCAATGATTTGGAAGCAGTTATCTAGTGCATTCTTGCACATTATATGTTCGACGAAAGACACACGATTTGACCTAAATATAGACACAATCAAATCCTTTAAGTCTTGGAGTTCCTACAACCTAGGGAATACATGCACTGCAAGTAATCATAACTCCTATAAGGGTGCAATATCTACTTCTAGATATCCTCTAAGATTCTCCCATCTTAGAACAAAGATTTTATCCTTAAAAAGGTTTCTCTTCCCCTAGTATAAATATATTCATCTAGGGTTCATTTATGATAACGCAATCTAATAAACCTCAATTCTCTTGCCCATTGCTTTGAGTCTAAAGTCATTCATTAACTTGACTGTCGGAGAGCTTTTGGCTGGGACACACTCCCCATCCCTTGGTCTTAGGCTTGCTTACTGTTGTTTACTGTCTTGCAGGTTGCCCAAGTTTACTTGAATTTGTGCTCAACCACCGTTCACAGAGGTGCTCAAATTTGGCTCCAACAATTTCTAATTTAGTTTCCTATCTCGTGGACTGAAGGTTTGTTTCAGATTTGTTTCCAAGTAGGCTAGTAGTGCTATTTTGTTCTCTAAACATTCTCCTCCAAGAAGAATTAAAGAATTCGAGTGCATTTGAGATTAATCAAGAATTCTGAAGTTTAAACCTAAAACTTTTATTTTTAGAAAATGCACATAATTAAATAGGAATTGGAAATTTTGAATACTTAAGTAGTGTGTTCCTTCAAAATTATTTTTACGTTGCCGTTCCGTTAATGGAGTGTGTATGTATATTACTACGTTGAATTGCGTTCTGGCAAAGAAACTAATTACTTTTCTTCAGTGTCAGAATTTAATTTTGTCAATATTCAGCAAACATCCAAGGATAACATGGTTCGAAAGTTCCAATATATACCCACCGACAATTTCTTTTATGCATCAAACCAAGCATATTCACCACAAGAGCACAACTAGAGAGATAGAGAGAAACAGAGAAAATGAAGAGTTTCATTTCCAAAGAATCCATTGTCCTACTAGTAATTCTTCTTTCGGCAATTTGCTTGGTCGCTGAAGCTCAACAATGTCGTCCAAGCGGCAAAATCAGAGGAAGGAAGGCCCCTCCTGGACAATGCAACCAGGAAAATGATTCTGATTGTTGTAAGCCGGGCAAAATGTACCCAACCTACACATGTTCACCGCCATTGTCTGGGAGCACCAAGGCCACCCTCACCCTTAACAGTTTCGAGAAAGGTGGAGATGGTGGCGGTCCATCAGAATGTGACAACCAATACCACAATGACAACACACCAGTTGTGGCACTGTCCACCGGATGGTATAGCAACGGAGATAGGTGCCATAAACAAATCAGAATTAATGGTAACGGACGTAGCGTGTTGGCCATGGTGGTGGATGAATGTGACTCTACTGAGGGATGTGATGCAGATCATGATTACCAGCCTCCTTGTCCTAACAACATTGTTGATGCCTC